AGTGATACTGCCTCGGAAACCCAAGGAGGGGTGGCTATGAGTCGGGTCCGACTCGACGGCAAATAACAACAACAACAACATAGGTAATATTTATTATTATTAGGAGGTGGTTGAAGACAATCACAATTCTCAAGGAGCAATTTTTAAAAATGTGTTTGTTGATGACTAGAATGAAGTAGAGGTAGCCCTGTTTTAAATAAATTCTGATTTTGTATTAGGAACTTTTTATTTTTATACCTTGAAGACTTGAACTTAAATCCTTATACTTAAATAGATTTTTTTATACATCAGTGATCAAGTATAAGGGCAGTCATGGTTTAGTGTTAGAATTCTTACATTCTATACTGGACACCCTGGTTTGATTTCTAGCCAATGCCACTCATAAGCTGTTGGAAGTTTGTGTGTTGCTGTGATGCTGAACAGGTTTTGTCGGAGTAAGACAGACTAAGAAAGAGAAAGGCCTGGTGATTTAATTCTGAAAAAAATCATCCACTGACAACCCTGTGGAGCCACAGTTCTACTCAAGTACACATGGGGCGCCATGACTCAGAATCGGCGGTAACAGGGTTAGTGTCAGGCATGCTGACAGCTTAGAGTACTGTTTTATTTTAAAGAGACAAACTTTTAAAAACTGCTTCTTGGGAAAGTATTACCTATCTTATATTTTAATTGGCAAAGTCTTTTTGGAAGGCCATGTGGCTACATCCACCAGCTAAGCTGAACCACAAAAGGATCAGCACTATGTACTGTTAAAGTCTTTTGATTGTTATTTTGAGATTGCAGCAGTATTTTAAACAGTATTTTAACTGTTGTTGAAAAGACAAACATGTAAGGAGAACATTTTTAGATTAAGAAAAGTTCATCAAGTATGAAAAAAGGATCAATTTTGAGGTTTCTGGCAAAAAAGAAAACAATAAAATCTCCTAGAATAGGTGCTCTTAGTTACTTTTGGAGGAGAAAAAAGAACAAATTCAATTAATGATTTGAGGGTATAAAAATATTAGCCTTACAAAACTGGTGGGGCATGAAAAGGTGAGGAACTAGTTATATGAAAGAATGAATGACATACTACCAGGAATTAAGAAATTATGTGATTTCTATACTAAATGTAGTATAACATTAGAATTCATACCACATTTGAAATTTAGTACAATGTGACTTGTTCACAAACATTTTTAATTGAGAATATTTTTGTTTAGGATTTTGTTTTTTATGCTCCTCGTCTGAGAATCAATAAGCGGATTTTGGCTTTATGTATGGGAAATCATGAATTATACATGCGAAGAAGAAAGCCTGATACTATTGAAGTACAACAGATGAAGGCCCAGGCTAGGGAGGAGAAACATCAGAAGCAGTTGGAAAGGTACGGAGTTTGTAGCCTTTTTTATAGCCTTTTTTTCTTAATTGATAGGAGTATGCTATCTAAAATTTGAGACTATTCAGTTTCTTTAAATTACTGTTAATTTACAGTTACATTATTTTTGTTATATTAAAGTTGAAAGAAGGTACTGTCACTGTCCTTTTTTTTAAATAAGGATTATAATTTTCAAGTTAGAAATCTTGACATTTCTGAGCAGATAGCTTTTCATAACTTCATAGATGTGCTTTTCTTTTATAATGCTTGTTTTTCACTGAAAAGACATTATTTTGTACTTATTTCAGTTTGAAATTTTTCAATTTCATTTTGTTTTGTGACATATATTTTTAAGGGTAGGAATGTTCTGAATATTTTACTTTGAAACCATGCTGGTAATCTTGTAGAACTTGCCTGAAAAGAGTGAGATAACTTGCCAAAGACACTGATGTTTTTACCTGTGGTCCTTTAGACTTTTAAAAAATAATTAAACTGCACGTTTTTGAACAGGGAAAATACTAAATAAAATCCCCATTGACCCTAGAACCAGATTATTGCAAACATAACTTCCCAATCGGATTTTTGATTAATTTAGACCTCATGCTTTATTTGAAAAAAAATTTAGAGATCAAATTGAAGTTAACTTCATCAAGGAAATCTTTGTAAAGCAAAATAATACTCCAAGAAATATAGTAAGTTCTAAAGAATCAAAAGTAAAGAACCTTAAATATATAAAAAAAAAATACCTGGATATAACATAATTTATATTTAGTAATTAAATAGGTTCTCTGCTGGTTAACATTTTGCTTATACTTTTGGTGTTTGTATTAAAGGTTACATATTAAATGTTTTGTATAATTCAGATATTAATTCAGATTGCTCTCTTCAAATTACATGTGAATCAAACAGTTTTTACTTGGCATGGGAATTTTCCAGTAATTCCTGATCTCACCATTAAAAATACTAAGTTGGATTATTACATTCACTAGGCTCTGCCGTTTCTTATTACTTTCATGTGGTGGGATCACATTGTGGTTCTAGTCTTTACATGTTTTTTAAAAACAATTCTTTATTGGACTTCATGTGTTCTCTCTCTCTTTTTTTTTTTTTTTTTTA